TCCTCAATATATGTTCCATTCTATATGCATCCGAAGAATGGGCTGTAGTCCACGAAAGCTTATGCTCTAATAAATTTGTTAGTCTCTAAGGTGCCACAAGTCCTCCTGTTCTTCTTTTTGCGGATACAGACTAACACGGCTGCTACTCTGAAAACTTTCCAAAAAGTCTCTTTAAAGTGTCTCGGGCGCTGGCGCTTTGTCAGTTACTCTGAAAAACGTAGACTTCAGAGGTTAAGGGACCCGGGGCCAGATCCCTGGCGGGTGTGAACCAGCGTGACTCCACTGACTCTGGTTCACAGCCGCTCAGTGTCGGCAATCCTCGGGGGTTTCACAGGGAGGCGTGTGCTGTCTTAAATCACCAGTTGCCTGAGTCATGGGATTCTGTGAGCTCAGCTTTTGTTTTGGTTTGGGTTTTTTAAAGCATGTTTCTAGTCTTCACGGTGGCAGAGAAAATGTGACCTGCAAAACCAGAATCCAAAATCTATTCTATGCACAAAGCTCATAATTTCTGTTAAGCCAATCTTGCAATTTGTTTGTTTGGTTTGACGGTACCAGCGTCATGCTGTTTGAACCCTTTGAGTTTAGCACGACTGGAAAAAAATTGAGTGGCAGGTGGGGCGTAGCTAACTGAGTCTGACCTCAACTCCACCTCTTTTCCTAGGGTCTAGTGTTTTTAAGCGCAGTGGAGTCCAACTGGGTTGGCTTGTCGGTGTTCGCACGCTATAAATATCCAATAATAATCAACAAATGGGGAAACTGAGGCAAAGACGTGGGGGAGAGAAGCGACTGCCCACGGTCACCCGGGAAGCCAGGGGCAGAACTGGGGTTAAAACCCAGGTCTCTTGAATCCCACGTCAATGCTTTATCCACTAGGCAACACTGCCGCCCATAACAAAACATATGCTTCATGCGTAGGATATGAATATTAGCTCCGCTATTGCAAAGAGACAATTATATAAGGAATCCTGTAATTACACATCTATGCTTCGTTAAGCTGTTGCGTGACCTCTGCGATACAGCCAAAATGCCGATGTCTCCCCGGCCCTTTTCAAACATGACTCAACGTCTTGGCTGGCTCCCTCGGAAAACCGCTTGGGTCTGTTTGCCTCTTTTGCTCCTTTGTCCTGCTGACTGGCTCGTGCGGGCTGTGGGTGGACGTTATGTAAGCTGTGTACTGTGGGCCTACTTCAATAACACTCGTTTTATAACGCCGGGTCGTTTTTCTCCGTCACCTGTGCTGCAGAATTGCAGGCTCATTGATTTAAGCGGGGGGAAGACAGGTCACCATGGGGGCAAATATAACCCATTGGCTTCTGCAAGGTGGTAGGTTGAATCGTGCACCTCCTAGTGATGCTGGTAGAGTGGTCCCATGTTTTAAAAAATAGGATTCATTCACTGTAGAGTTAACCTGGTTGATTAATGAAGCTGTGCTATGGGATGCGAAGCCAGAGGATGTTACTGAGTCAGATAGGCTCATATTTGTGAATCACAATAGCAGACGAATGACATCTTTTTTTATACTCATTGTAAAGTTAATCAGTGGAACTCATGGCCGCAGGATACTGTTGAGGGAAACAGGTGACAGGATAGGATGCTGTACTCTTCTAGACCATTGCTGGAATAATAATAATAACCTAGTTCTTTTCATCCGTAGCTCTCAACGTCTTTTACAAAGGAGGCTGGGATCAGTAGCGCCGTTGTCCAGATGGGGAAACTGAGTCACAGAACAGTGAAATGATTTGTCCCAGCCAGCAGAGCTAGGACTAGAATCCATGTCTGTAGAATAACATCATACTTTTTATAAAGGAAGGCTAATGACAGATGTTCTTATTGCCAGGACAGTCTAACTTCTCTATTAAAAACAAATCTAGCCACCTCCTGGCCTCATTAATGTCCGGTGGGGCTGAAGCTGGGATCGACGTGCCCAGGTTGTGTGGGGCGAATTGGGCAGAACATAATTTTCTCCTCAATGAATATTCTTGAGAGTTTGAAATCTCCCTCCTCCCCCCCCCCCCACTCAAATCAGGATGAAAAGTCAAAATCTCAAACAAAACTTTGCAAACTGAAAAAAAACAAACACCCCCCCACCCAAACCTGCTGACTTTTGTGTGTTGTTTTGGGCTGATCAAACCCATTTAATCATTTCAAAACACTTGGACTTCTTTGTTTTTTGGGTCTAATCTGCTTCAATTTGGAAAGGAAACCAGGAAACCCGGGCTGGTTCCCATAAACAATGTCAAAACGTTTAGCCGAGCTCAAAATCCTCCCCACCCCCCCAACCCTGACACTTTTATTTGAGTCAGGAGATCCGTCAAACCCGACCCTGCCTTACCAATTGTTTGGACCAATCGGCATTTTTCAATGGGGGAAAAAAACAATTTGTCGAAAAAGTCCCACCCAGCTCTGCTCACTGGAGCCTCGGCCAGAAGCCCAAAGCCCTTGAGAGGTCAGCTTCCCACCGCACACCCAGGGGGTGCCAGGGTGGGCAGAGATGGCCCCATAGGACTCCCTTCTTATGTGGGGCTGGTCCATGTGTCTTCTCCCATCCCCTGGTGTAGGGGGCTGCATACAGCCCTATATCTATTCACCGCTTCCCCAAGGGCTGGTGGGCGGCAGAACGTGAGTTCGAACCTGGACTGGCTGAAATTTTTCCTTCTCCACATAGGGGAACACCAGGGTGCATCATGGGAAATGTAGTCCTCCCGGGGAGGCTGGCCTATGGAGGAGATGGGGTTCATGAGCCACGTGAACTACAACTCCCATGAGGCACTCCTGACTCAATATATTTCTGGTTTTGATCCCCTCCTCCCCAAAATCACACTTTTCTGTGGGAAAATTTTGATGACACATTTCACACCTTCCCCTTGTCAAATTTTCACCAGGGAAGGGGAGGGAAAAAGTCCATCTCTAGTTAGAGCAGCCCCAAGGCTGCTCTGAGATACACGGGGCCCACAACACAGGCAGTGCAAAGAAGTCTTTAACCCAGCTTCATCCTGCCAAAGGTTTGAAAAGCTCTGTGCGACGTCCCAGGTGACTACTAGACCCGCGTCTGCTTTGAAAAGGCGGCTGGGCCTCACTGCGGACGCTCGGGGAGCTGGTGTCGCTCCCGGACGAGTGGACAAATCTCACCCCCGGAGTCTAGCGCGGTTGGACTCGCTGGGCAGAGCTCATGGCGGGAAGCAAGGGGGGCTGGCATCGAACGGGGATCCCCTAAGGGACGGTTTCAGAGTTGGGGGTGCAAGACCGCTCCTGTGGCCTCGCTGAGCCTGGCTGAAGTTGGGCATTATGGGGCTTTTCCCTGCACAGCCCTTCAGGAAAACCCACCGAGTGGCACGCGAGCTGGCGAAAGGTAGGTCCCTTTATTGGGGAGCGAAGGGGGGCAGCAGCCGGGGGGGGCTGGGAGGCAGGGCTCAGCGGGGAAGGAGGCAGAACTGGTAGGGCCGCGGGATGCTCCCCAGGCCGCTGGACTCGGGCGTGATGTCGATCTCGGCGGGCGCCACCAGGGTCCGGAGGGTGAAGTTCTGCAGGATGGCGGTGAGGAAGATGAACAGCTCCATGAGGGCCAAGCTCTCGCCCAAGCAGACCCGCTTCCCTGCAAGGGAGAGAGGCCGAGGTGCTGGGGAAACGGAGCCGGCCTGCCCGGCCTCGGCCCAGTCCCAGCTGGCCGCCTCCCCGCCGCTCAGCGACAGCTGCGAGCCCTGCCCCAGGGGAGTGTCCGCGTGGGGGAGCTGGCGGGGGGGTATCATGGGGGGTGCTGCAGGGTGGGGCCCTGCCAGCGGCGAGTTGCGGCGAGTCCCTGGGAGTTGCCAGGGCAACGCCGGCATCAGTTAGCGGGGGGGGCAAGATCCCGCGTGGTGACAGGAGGCTGCTCCTCAGAGCTATGGGAAAGGCGCTGGTTTCTACTGGGGAACAGAGTCACAGGTGGAACTGGGGAGAGAACCCAGGAGTCCGGGCTCCAAGCCACTAGACCCCACTCCCCTCCCAGAGCCGGGGAGAGAACCCAGGAGTCCGGGCTCCCAGCCCCCCTGCTCTAATCACTAGACCCCACTCCCCTCCCAGAGCCGGGGAGAGAACCCAGGAGTCCTGGCTCCCAGCCCCCCACCCCCCGCTCTAACCACTAGACCCCCACTCCCATCCCAGAGCTGGGGAGAGAACCCAGGAGTCCGGGCTCCCAGCCCCCCCCTCCTGCTCTAACCACTAGACCCCTCTCCCCTCCCAGAGCCGGGGAGAGAACCCAGGAGTCCGGGCTGGGGGCCGCACTCTGCCCACAGCAATGGGAGAGGCTCCTGCTCTGCCGTGTCCTGGCGTCGTCCCCGCCCGGCTCTGCCCCAGCGGCGCTACCTGCCGAGAAGGCCATGAAGGCGTCGTTTCTCCGGAAGCGCCCGTTCTCGTCCAGGAAGTGGGAGGGGTCGAAGCAGGTGGGGTTCTTGAACTGGGTGGGGTCGGCCTGGGCCGTGCACAGCAGCGGGATGATGTTCAAGTCCTGCGGAGCCAGCAGGGGGTTCAGCCATGAGACCCAGACATCCCGATATTAGGGGCTTTGTCTTGTAGAGGCAACTATCTCCCCTCCCCCCACCTGACTTTTCACACTTGTGATCTCAGCACTGTAGGCTGGGACGAGGCCTTGGAGACGGCCACGTGCCCTGTGGGGCTGGCTTCACCGCCCCACGTCGGCTCGCTCCAGCACACGGCGCATCCTGCAGGCTGAACCCTGCCACCAAGCCTACTGCAGGTGGGGCAGTGAAAGGGGGCGTGGCTAGTGAAAGGGGCGTGGTTGGGGTAGGGGGCGTGGCCAGCAAAAAGTGGGTGTGATTGGAGAAGGGGGAGTGACTAGTGAAAGGGGGTGTGATTGGAGAAGGGGCGTGGCTATCGAAAGGGGCGTGGTTAGGTAGGGGGCGTGGCTGGTGAAAGGGGCATGGTTGGAGAAGGGGGTACGGCTAATGAAAAGGGGGTGTGGGTGAAGAAGGGGGCGTGGCTAGTGAAAGGGGCGTGGTTGGGGTAGGGGGCGTGGCCAGCAAAAAGTGGGGGTGATTGGAGAAGGGGGAGTGACTAGGGAAAGGGGGGGGGATTGGAGAAGGGGCGTGGCTATCGAAAGGGGCGTGGTTAGGTAGGGGGCGTGGCTGGGGAAAGGGTCATGGTTGGAGAAGGGGGTACGGCTAATTAAAAGGGGGTGTGGGTGAAGAAGGGGGCGTGGCTAGTGAAAGGGGCGTGGTTGGGGTAGGGGGCGTGGCCAGCAAAAAGTGGGGGTGATTGGAGAAGGGGGAGTGACTAGGGAAAGGGGGGGGGATTGGAGAAGGGGCGTGGCTGAAC